TCTTTGTTTTCTTTCAACTCCTCTGAGGACTAGAAAAAATGGAGCAGTATCGAGATTATTCTGTGTTTCTGTTCGGTGCGATTATTCTAAGAAGAGATGCAATCATAGACTGTAAAAACTTTTTGGTAAAGTTTGACGGCAGGTTTTGAAGGTATATCCAAAAATAGATACACACAGTCTTCAGTGAGGAAGAAGATGGTCAAAAGAACAGAGAGCTGTGGTTTCAAGTCGTGGTCAGTTGAACAGGCAACTGGAAACACAGGAAAAAATGATACTCGATTAAGGAACTAAATCTCTGGGTCGGTAAAAACACATAGACATTATTAGGGAAGAAACAAGAGTTCTGGTTCACTGTAGTCACATACAAACTGGCAACAAAAGAAGGGGTCTGAGGGGTTTATTTACAGACAGGGGGAGTTAACAAGACACAGGTAGGGATGGTGCGGTTATCATCACAAAGGGAAACACGGTGGGCAGGGGCTGGATGATGAGGGAGGCGTGGATACACAAGGAAGAAGAGTGGAACACAGGTACCATTTTCACCACTGGTTCTTAATATGGTGTTCGTTTTGCTTCACATCTGGGGACACAGGTCAATAGCGCAAACTTACAGGGAGTCAATCTGCCCCCCTCTGGTAAAGTCGAAATAAAAAAAAAAAGTTTTCTCCCTGTCCGTAGAATGTTGTGGTTTTATAGAAGGTAGATAAAAAAACAGTGAATGAATGAATTCTATATTCTGATTTTATCTGTTTTGGAAACAATTTTAAAAGTTTGTTATAGCTTTAGCTGTTGTTTGGACAATTCCTATTTTCTCTCTCTGTGGTTTCTGGTAAACATTTAAACACACTTCATGAGGTTTTAGTGAAAACATTGACTGCGTTTAGATAAATGGACCAAACACCGGGGCAGGAAGCCAGCAGTCAAACACGGACAGATCAAACTCTCAGCCTGGTTAGCATTTGTAGTGTTACCATAATGTTGTCATTAACAGTAAAGTTATAGTCCTGTGAACATCCAGCCATGGACTGCTCTCTAACACTTTTCTCTGCCTCACTTTTGTGTTTGGTGGTTCACTTTTTCTCTTGACTTGTTTATGTGTTTCTGCCCTCTGATTGGTCCCTACGCCGTTTCGCCTTTTCTTGCTCCCGAGCCTCATGCAGGCCATCAGCTGCAAATAGTTCTTCGCAACCACAACCACATAGTTTGTATACACGGCGGGTGTGTGTGCGCGTGTGTGCGTGTGCTGTCAGTCGTGCGTTTCCACAGATAAGGCTGCCCATGATTTCTGTTTGTGTTGCTCCGTACTGTTCTGGCGGTTTTGGTCCAAGTGCGCGTTCACATTTCAGTGCATTTGTGTGTGGATATACAAACATCACTGTTTGTGTGTCTGTGTGGTGATCCTGTGGTTGACCTACAGGAACTGTATAAAACATATGGAAGCGTCAGGAGTGTGTGAGTCGTCTAGATGGTATAAAAAGACATTTGCTTTTGAAATTTACAGATGCTGTCAAACTTATGTCAGAAATAATGGTTGTCATGGTTTAAAAATAAATACACGAATGAATATAAAAATAAAGGAAAAAAAAAACACTCCAAATAAACAACCCTTCAAGACAAATGTGACCCTAAGGAATCTTAAAAAAAAAAAATTATGTCAAAAAAACAAAAAAGACCACCCAACTATTAATGCCTCTGTGTCTGCACAGGAAAAAGCAACCTTTTACTACTTAAGCGAACTGCTTTAAAAGGCCCCAAGTACTAGTAAGGAGTACTTTGAAAAATCGAATGTACTGTATTAAGGCAATTTCATTCAAACTCAATCTTTGTTCCAAAAAAGTGTTTAAATTAAACATAATGTGCCTTTATTGTGTGTTGAACGTGGCCCAGACAGACTCGCAGGCTCAGCAGCTCCAACTGCAGGTTGTTTAAGGTCAGTTACAGTTCAGCAGCAACTGACGTACAGCTAACAGCTACTGTGTGTGTGTGTGTGTGTGTGTGTGTGTGTGTGGACATGGAATAATATCCTGTTTTATCTCTCACTCCTATGGTTTGACTCTCGCCGTAATTCTCCTCACCGTGTGTGATGTTCGTGTGTGTGTGTGTGTGTGTGTGTCCTCCTTAAATGTGTCTTTGTGTTCTCTCAGCTGGCATCAATCAGTGTGTGTGTGGAGCCGAGCCGCTGCCAACAATGAAGCCCTTCAGGAGACCAAAGGCCTTTTATCAATTCACACACAAATGCATACCTATACATACACACCGCGGTCATGTGACACGGTCAGTGAAAACGATTGCTTTTTATAAATGAATTGTGTTTGGAAATACAGGAATTCTCACTCCACAGTACCATCAGGTTAACCTCAGTTTAACAACCTGTTACTTCTCTAACTTAACAACCACATGTTAAATATATTTACCTATAGTTTAGGAGCACTGGAGTTTACCCAGTTATATTAAAAACAATGCTATGATGCATTGCAAAGCATTGTGGTAGAAGGTAAAAAAAAAAGTTCTTCTGCACTGTATGTTGGACAACTAGCCAAAGCTAAAAAATAAAAAGGTCAAAATAGAAATATAATATAGTAGCTGATCAGTCAGTGCTGTGTGTTTTTCTACAGCTGTTCACTGGTAGTTTTTACACTGTCAGCAGTTTGGAGGAATTCAACTAGGACAAATCTGGATCAAGGCTTACTTTAAAATTTGTTCCGTTACAATACAAGGAATTAAAAACAGACCTGAAGACGTGTCTTGATGCTGAATATGCTGTCTTCTTCTCAGTTCAGCCTCACAGTGGAGAGTTACTGCTAAACTGAAGAGTACTTTACTAATATTTTGTATGTGCATGTGTTTATAGAGTGAGACAAATATATTTGTCTCACTCTATAAACTGCTATTGGTATAAAAGCTCTGCTCACTTTCTGGTCAGCTGGTATGGTAAGGATTTAGTAGTACTGGTACTCACACTTGGTGTGTATCTATGTGTAAAACAATGAGTATTGGTACTGTATGGTAGACAATGGTACAGATTTGTTACAGATGTGGTAACGTTGTGTGTACCAGTTACAGTAAGTCAAGGTACAGGTGTATACCAGTGGCTGAAGCCACAAACCCTAAAAGATGAAGTGAGGTTTTTATATCACACATCACACAGATGACAGGTACATGTGCAGTGCAGTATGTACGACGTTTATTATTACTCCAAGCCAAACAGCTCCCTCTACCCTGGCAATCACAGCTCCACCCTGACACTCACACATTCTCACACACTTCACTGCCGTATCTTCTATCTGTGTTTTCGCAGTATCTAATACCGAGCACTGAATCCATTTGTCAAACAAACTGCTGGCGCACGTTGGCGCTCAGACCTGCATATCACTCAATTATCTGAACACACACTCATCCATTAGTCCCAGATCTGCTTTCACCTCCTCTGTCTCTCTCCTCATCAGCTCCTTTCTCCTTCTCTCCTCCCTCGTCTCCCGTTTCTGTCCTTCTCTTTGTCCGGCTTGTCTTTTCTTGTTGTCCTCTTCTCCATTCCTCATGCTCTGTCACCACTCTTCTGCCCTGCTTCTCTCATCTGCACTCCTCTGTTGTTGCACTCATGGAGGGGTCGACCTCTGGACAGAGGTCAGAGATCACCGGGTCCCACCACACCTTTTTGATGCGTTTTCTCTTTAACCTTTCAAACACTGGGGGAATAATAGTGGGAGTATAAGGTGGGAAATTCACCAAAGAAAAAATCTGAGTAGTGATGTGGAATCAACTTATGACCCGCAGGCCAAATCTGGCCCACCAAACCATCCAATCCGGACCATGACTGGATTCCAAAATGTTTTGCTATTTTAATTGTATTTATTACAGAAACTTTTCAGAAACTTTTCAGGAACAGTTTTCTCTTCCTTGTAACTCTTAGTGCTGCCTTCAGGTCCTAACGTCACACGCCGACGAGTTACTCCAATTGCTTATAATCTGTTTATGCTTTGACAGCATGGATGAGTAAACTATTAGGTTTTTAACTGTAAAAAGCTCAAAAGGTGTTTATTTGAAGGTGTAGTAACAGTTGTGCACATGTGGAGTTTTGGGCCTGAAGAAAGGGAAACTAATGAAACACACGAGCTCCTAAGTACAAATATATGCAGCATTATGAATGCACCAAGTCGCTAACAAGTCCAAATAGAAACAGTGTCTCAGGAAAACAGAACCTGATGGTTACCATCTGGGCCTAATGGCATGGAACTTGTGAATTGTAATTGCATTAATACAATGATGAAGTAAACAAATGTTCTTGTCTTGCAAATATTTTCCCAACTCCAGATTAAAATCCAATTACACCACAGACAAGTTGAACCGGCTTCAGCGCTGCAGTGTTGCCTCAGAAATGTTTAAAAAAAGCAATGCTTTTTCTGTTTTTCCCCTAGCCTCCTGTGGAGCTAAATGTTATAAGTTCTCTAATTCCAGATAGATTATTGTTTTGCAATCCATGTTTGAAACACCAGGAAGCTTCTGTCCTGACTCTGTAATATTTCATGTGGCTTTCCGAGGAGAAGGAAGTGGATTTGTGTCCTTATTCCCACAATCTATTATAGCATGGAGTCTGTTAGAATTAAAGTCTCACTCTGAACAAACCGCACCACTGTTCCTCTTGTTTGAGCTCTGGAAATCTCATTCTGAGGCCGTTTGGGATTATTACAGCTTAGCTTCTTTTTCAGCTGGAAAAATAAACGTCAATAAAAGAACAAAACACAGCGGAGTTCAAACAGACGTCTCTGTGTATGCACTGATCTTCTCTGCAAGTCTGATGACTTATCCCCACGCTCTGTTGACTTTGAAACAAAAAGGAGTCGTCATGAACTTATGTTTTTTTTCTGTGGATTTCAATAATTTAGACACTTTCTTAAGATAAAAAAAGACTAATGAGTCATACTTACACATACAGGAAGTCCTTGCTTTATGCCGTCCTTGACCTTGACTAAAAAACACGACATGTTTCCTTTCTGCTCCAGGTCATAACACTGGCAGAGGCTGCAGAAGAGAACCACACACTCCTGGAGGAGGCGTTCGTCCGTCTGAGGAGCGCCACACACCTGCTGGTGCTGCTGCTGTCACTGTGGCAGAACCTGACCCCGGACCAGAGCTCCATCCTGGAGGCCGCACTGCTGCCACTGCTGCAGGACACACCACAGCTGGTATTCACACTCGCCAATCTCCAGTTTCTTAAACGTGATTTGCCAATATCGATTTTTAGCCTCATCGCACTCGACACACACTGTTCCACTCAACTCTGCTGTTTTAAATAGCAGATAAGGCCGGTCACCAGCCAGGGGTGATCATGCTAAAAAACAGTCTGATCCTCACACATCCAGTTGCTGATCCGATCGCTGATCCAAACAAAAAGTTGGGACTGTAAAGTTGAAATCAGATAGTTCAAAATGTTTTTGGTACTGTTTGCTGGATTTCAGAGGGAATAATCCTAACTGATTTTGTCCAAGGATGTAAACAAGAAACTGCTAGCTATCACAAAGAGCTAGTTTTATGAACTAGGTGCTTGAACTCAAATGACCAGGCTAAAGATATCCACCTACATTGAAAATATTGAAATATATTTACTTATATAAAGTAACATACTTTATTTACAGCTTATATGTTTGCGTATTGATTTAAGGCTTGTAGCTGTACGGTGCAGTATGATTCAGTTCGTATAGTATATGGTCACTACTACACACTATAGAATTATATTTATATACAGTATTTTTATATTTTATTTTAATTGCTAATGATCTACCAGTATTAAATCTGCAATTTATTGGCAGATCCCTATCTAGATGATCGAGAGAGAGAGAGACAGAGAGCGAGAGAGGCTCTGTAAGACTGTGGTTATGTACGTATGTGTACAGGTCAAGGGCACAATGACCACTAGTGGATGAGATGCACATAGAGTTCACTGATGCTTTACACGTCTGTGTCTTGTGTGATTCTCATGTGTGTTATACTAATCAGCCGAGTTGACGGTGTTCTTCCATTCAGTGCAATCAACAAAAAATGTATGTCCCTGTGAAGAGTCCAAATCTAGGTACCTGTACTGACTCAGTGTGTGTGTGCAGGCGTGCGTGTGTGTGAGTTCATTTTTCCATGGCACTGATGATCAAACCCCTCAACCTCTCATTACCACTAAGTCTATTTCCAGCCTCGTCCTCCTCTGACGGCCTCCCATTACACACACACTGGTACACACAAACATCTGTGTCTTCATAAACAGCAGCACATAAAATATCTGTTACATCTGTTACAGCAGTACACTCACACACACACACACACACACACACATGTCCAGGGCAGACAGGAATAGATGAGAGGTTCAGATGATGAGCCCTTGGGGACTGTTTCTCTTTGCCTGTGCGTGTGTTTGTTTTTGTATGCACTGGTGTGTGTTATTTTAAATAGGATTAATGGCATTAAGTGTATTATCTTTAATCAGGGTCATGTCCGTATCATTAAAAGACAAACAGGTGGACAGAACTGATGAGCTATTTTCAGAGAAGCCGACTCACACTCCAGGATGGTGCGATGACTCTGCACTACAAAAAAGTTTAAAAAAATGGTCATGAGAAATTACATTTTGTCGTCGTATGCTGTAGATATAGGAGCTACAGCAGATAATGAGAGTTAAATCTAGGTTTCTTAAAAAAAAATTCTAAATAGATAAGGGATAGGGATATAGGGGGAATCTTGAAATCTTCCTCTTTCTTCCAGAGGTTTTTCTAGTATAAAAAACTGATGAGGAGGTAAAAATAATCTGAGGAGAAAAGGGGAAACAGAAGCAACATTTTCCAGGACATGTTTTTATGCGTTAATCCCAAATCAAACTCTCCTTTATTTGGTTTATTTAATGTGATTTGTTTTGATTTTAGATTTGTGTTTTTGGACCAGTGGGCAGATTTGTGCTGGTTGATTAACGACAGATGCAGCGGCCGGATGATTACAGCGTTGCCGGGGCTACAGCTGCTGGCATTTGGCTCAATGTGTGGCTCCCGACAAAAAACAAAATAGGTTTAAATGCTGCACAGAGTTTCAGAGTCATGTAACGGTCTGAACTCTAAACTAAAGTCTGTTTTAGGAACATTTACATTGTTCAGTGAGAAAATAGTATGTCATTTTCACTTCCTAAATAATAATAAATGTCCTATTTTTACAGGATAAATAAAGGACATCTTCCAGATTTTTTAGCATCCAGTCACCTATAGCAGTGTTTCCCAAACTTTTTATTCTGGAGACCTATATTTTAAAAGTCACAAACCTTTGCGACCCAATAGACATTATTCGTAAATTCTTGGGAAACATGATGCGAGACGACCCCAAAAAAAATCTCTTGCGACCCACCTGGCTGACGCGACCCAGTCTTTGGGAAACACTGACCTACAGTACACTTAAATAAGTTGATACAAATTCAAAGGTGCTCTGATTTGCTACTGTAAAAATACCCAGCATTACTTTAGCTGATCTGAACTGCATTTTAACATGCAAATGTATGGATTAGATCAGTGGTTCTCAAACTTTTTGTACCATCTGAGAAAATACTCTCAGAGTACCACCATGATGACCAACATTAGAATATAGCAGCATAAGCCTTCACTATTAGCTTCCTATTTCATAATCTCACAAGTAGCTACACATTTTTTCTAAATGTTGTATTAATTGTTCATGGTATGTTTCAGATTAAATTCAGTTTAAAATGTAAATGTGAAAATATGAATTTTCCCCGCGTACCGCTAGAGAGTGCTCGCGTAACACTGGTGGTACGCGTACCACAGTTTGAGAACGACTGGATTAGCTAATTTATTTACCTTTATTTACCCTTGTCAGTAATAATATATTTTTACCACATTAGTTAGATAATGATTAATTAATGCATTCAAATTCCAAATGCTAGCCTTTCTAACGATCCTGTTCCCTTTACTGTGGTCTGTCACATCAGTGGTCAAGATCTTTAGCAGATGTCCACACTAAACCTCAGAATATTCACAGAATGTTTAGAGAAGTGTTGCTCAGCGCCTCTCCTGTCTGCCCTAAAAGAAGTGAGGAAGAGGAGGAGAAGAGGAAGTGCGTATGTGTGGCATCCCACCACACGTCTCATTTAGCTGCAACCATGCAGAACCCTGCCACCTCCTCTCCTCCTCTTCTTTTCACATTCCTCCATCTCTCCACCCTCTCATCCTCCTTTTAACCAATTTTAATTCCATCAAATGTTTCCACTCCCATCAAATCATCCTTATTTAATTTTTTTATTTATTTATTTATTAATTATTTTTTAATAATTGTTTTTTTTTTTGCTAATTTCCCTATTTTCTTCTTTCACTAAACCCATATTTGCACTCTTACTCACCTCACCCTCTCTGTTCCCTTCTACATCCCCTGACATGTATTTTTTGTTGACACTTTTAGTTTCTCTTTCACCTCTTTCTACTCTTTCTCAACCTCGTTCTCCTTCCTGCCCCTTCCCTATGGCGTCGCTCTCTGATTTCCATCAGTCACTCTGTGCTTGACAGGTGATCACTGACGGGTTACCAGAATTGTCTTCCTATGATACCCTATGAAGTATCCCGAAAAATGTCTCTCATGTTCCTTCCAATCGAGAAAATGTTTTTCCAAAATCCAAAAAAAAAAAAGAACAAAAGCAGGTTGTTTTTGTTGATCACCTTAGAAAATGTACAGGATGACATTGGATTTCTGGTGTTTTTAGAAACCTCCTTCCAGGTACCGACGCTGGAGTCCCTCCAACAGAGACTGTCTGTATGACAGAGCTGTTTTCACACAGCCGTACCTCCGGCTCCTTAAATGACTTTCCCAGTTATGATGGGAATGTCAGGACTGAGGAATTGCTGTCTAAACCTTTACTCCTCTCTTTGGGAGTCCTCCAAGGTTGCGTGCTAGGCCCGGGGGTGTTTTCTCCATGGCTGTCCAATAACGCTGTAATCACACCTGGGATTTCCACCCCAGTCAAACCCAATATTCTTGATGCTGCCTAGAGACGAGACTGGGATCCTCCACTGATTATTTATTCTCTGGGGTCTAATTATTTTATTTTATTTTTTTTATTGAGAAAGTCTTTTTTTTTACCTATTCAGTTTTAAAGTTACCTTAAAGTCAAGGCAACTCTTCACTCTATGTCACATAGAAAAACACTTGTGGTCCATATTTACTCTAGAACATTTCAAACTCTCATTCACATGGATGATGTCGTTAAAGCAACCTGCTTCTGTTTACCCCAGTTCATAGCTGGATGTTTGGCCCAGATTTGCCTTTGTACATGGCCAGATAGAATTATTTGTAAATCAAACAAACTAACTTTAAAACGCCATTCTGCCTGAGTAACAGCCCAATAAAAGATTTAGTAGGACTATAATGTAAAGTTGTTAAAAGCTATTGATCACCTAGAAAAAAAACATGTTCGTATCCCACTTTAAAATAACTTTAATAATAGTCCTTAGAAGTCAAACATGGTGTGAATGAGGTTAATAGAAGACAAACGCTTCCTTGTTTCTTGCGGCAGGAAACGTCCGTCCTATTTTACATTACTGGGAACTTGTCTAATTTATCGTTGTGGCCCGGATCCAAACATGCTCCACTCCACCTTTTCTTAGCTTCCTTTCTTCTTTAGGGTAAATGTCTGTGGTTTAACTTTTAAAGACGTTTAATTTCCCTCCGCAGCATGTGGAACAAGTGTGTGTGTGTGTGTGTGTGTGTGAAAAAGTGCCAAGTTTCCACAGAAACCTGCAGTTATGCTGTTCCTAGTATTTGATAACCTGGTGAGGTATTGTAGTAGGGATAGGTCACCCACCTCCCATCTTTCCTCCTGCTCCTGTTCCTCCTCTCTTATTTTCCCCCCATTGAAGCCCTCCAGCTCTCCTCCCTCTCCTCCTCTGTCTGCTCTCCCCTCATTTCTTATCTCAACTCACCCATCGTCCTTCCACTCATCTCTTTAATATCTGCCCTCGTCTCTGTCATCATCTCATCTTCTTGACCTTCCACGATCCCCCCTCTCTCTCTCCTTCTCGCCTTCCCTCTCTGTCTCTGTCTCTCTGTCATCATCATTACAGGGTTGATTACCTGTCATTATGGCTCATTAGGGGCCTATCAGCGTGGCGGCAGCAGTTGGGGGAGGCGGGTGTGTGAGGAGAAAAGGGGATGTCAGGCGGGTACCTGTCAACACGACCGTGCACAGGCACTCCCATTCAGTGTCAAACCCTGGGACGGCTGGTTATAGATTCAGGGGGTTTTAGGACAAGATAAGTGAGCAGATGTGTGTGTGTGTGTGAGTGTGTGTAACAGGGTGTTAGTGGGTGAGTGAGTCTGCGTATGTGTGAGTGCGGGACAAACAGAGAGGTATAAGTTGGCCTTAAACAATAATTAGAAATGTTTCTGAAATCATCTCTTGTCATTATAAATTGATTGATTTATTTTAATTATTGGTTTTAGTTGTTTCACTCCTATATGCCCAAAAAATATAAGTACAAGTGCAGTGCAACATGCACCTTTGTGCAAGTAAATACTTTTGTTAAGACATGAATTCTGACTATAAAGGAGACCGTTTGTATCGGCCAACACTTTATATTATATTGTACACACATTTAAGTACACAAATCTAATTCTTTTTATGAGGTCAAACTCACAGAAAGGATATTCTACCAGATGTTCTTTCTCTTGTTTAGTAAAGACAGCTGAGGTTGGGGCTATTAAACTTCAACAATGAATTGCACCAGAAACCTTTAGATGGAGTTCAAACATTTAAATGTAGTTACCGTTACTTCACCCCCATCTTTTTCTACTTCCACTAGCGTCCTAACCTTGTCTTCTAGACCTGCTCGTCTCCAAACCGGGTCATTGTTCTCAAACAAAGATATATTTCTTCTTGTCATGTCTTTATATGAGCAGATCAACACAATAGTGTTAACCACTTGGTGTTTTTTAGGAAGTCAGTGGGGCAAAAATGTGGTAAGGTTTAGGCAAAGTGACTAATTTGTAGTTAGATACTGGAACAATAGTTGGTGCCAGGGAGATCGTGGTGTTCTTAACGGAAACAAACATCCTCTCCGTAATTTCAACATGGATCCGGTGTTGAGACACAGACTCACAGACTGTCCTCAGGATAATGAAGAGTCTCGGTGTCGAAACACCATGCCATGTTGTTGTCCATGCAGTACAGCTCACAGCAAGAATGTCCCAGAATTTTACTAAAAAAAACCCAGTTATTTTCTTTTCTTATTGTAGCAATTTTGAAATCTTACGTGGTGTAAAGAAGAATTCTGTTCATTTCCCAAACATGACACTGTTGTTTTGTGTCAGGTAAATACAGTATAGTTCTCTCTCCTCAGGGCTGGGAGGAGAGCTGCGACGCAGCCGTCACTCACCTGCTGCGAACTTGCCTTTCCCGCAGTCCCAAAGACCAGGCTGCATCTCTGGCCCAGATTGGTAGCCCCCTGCTGGGTCTCCCCCGTGACACCACCCGCCTAAAAAAGCACATCACACTGCTGTGCGAACGCATAAGCAAGGGAGGACAGCTGACTCTGGCCTCGGAGACTAATGTCCAGGTCCCTGCCCACATCCAGAACCTGGCTGCACCTGGTGAGTCTGAGGAGGGTGGGTGAAGGAATGAGCTGCATACTAAAACTTTAATGTATTTATATTAGAAAATAACCTTTGAACTCAAACGGCAAATTAGCTTCACATCATCCTGTGACAGTCCTAGGTGACCCCATAGTGTGTCATTGTGTTTGTTGATGTTGATATAAATGTGCATTATATAAAAGCAGGTCGGTAGAAGTGAGTTTAGACCATCAGTGGACCCCCAGAGAATTGATTCCTCTGTACTTGAGTTTGAGTTTGACTTCTGTTTGCTACTAGTGTGTTATAAATGTTTCAAAATCCATTGGAACAATTCAAATCAAAACACAGAACAACAGAAACCATGACACCAGGTTTGACCTGAACCATCGACACTGACTCTGAACTGTGTCACAGTTTCAGTTTTGTGTGTCTGTGTGTGAGCGTGCTCCCAATATAACTTGGTCCCCTGTTGGAGATTTTAGGCCTCGTCAGGCAAACACATGAAGGCTATTCATACTCCACCTCAAACGTTTGACACACACTCCTATTTAAATGCATCTGAACACACACACATACAGACACGCATACATGCAAAAAAACACTACAAGTATCCACCAATGACACACCAATAGAGTCACATTTGCAAGGTAGACACATCCATAAAATTCCTTCACTCCTTTAAACCCACACACACACACACACACTGTACGGTTCATTTAGTCCTGGCCACAGTTTATAGAAGGGCTTTTGACAAGATCATCAATTACAGTCTGTTTGTTCTCCTCCCTCTTTATTTCATTTATTCCTCTCCCACTTCCTTCTTTTCACCTTCTCCCAGGTTTTCTACATCAAAGTACAGGATAAAATCAATCTTTATTTAAGTTTAGTGGTTCAGGATTTGAACCTGGGGCCTTTTGCACCCCAAACAAGAATCATACACACAGAGCGTACACACACGTATGTGTATGTATACAGTAAATATACATCAGTGATATATATTTATATATGCACATATATTTCTACTATCGATGATACCAGACTGTATTATACAAATTTATATATAATTATATATAATTATATTTGTTTGTGTGTGTCATTGTGAAGGGACGTGTGGTTGTAGGTGAGAAAAGTCTATAATACTTTAACAACGTGGTAAAAGGTTATTGGAGGGATCACATCAATTTTACAGTCAGTAACCTCAGTGTAGTTTTTGTGCAGTTCAGTAGTACTCATGTTGTAAGGACATGCTCCTGTTGACAGACCCACACACACACAGACCTTTTTAGTTGTGGAGTCAAACCTGGAAACACCATAATGACGTAAATGATCAAATCTAAAGGCGGCGACTTTTTTAAGTCCAGAAGACTTTGTTTGTGTGTTTCCTGCTCATGAGCTCTTCCCTCGCTTCTCTGGTCCGCTGCCAAAATCCATAACTGTAGACATGCTTGTGTGTACGCACAAACACACACACACGCACCACAAACACTGCTCTTCAGTAAACAGTCGTTTGTTAAGAGGCTGAGATGTTGCTTTTTCACCCGCCTGTAAACATACACATTTATTTAGGTTTCCAACAACACCGGCAGGCAGCAGTTTCCCTTTCAGACCACAGAAAACACACACACACACACACACACACACACACAGGATAACTTTTAACAAGCCCTGCTTCATTGGACGTGTGTTTCTCATGCATTCATGTGAGGCTTTCCTGCAGGTATCAAGGCTAAAACACACATATATTTCTGAACAGAGAGAACGACATTATCACTTTCACCTTTACTTTTGTAATCATGAAAAAAAAGACACACATATACATGTTGAAAACTTTATTTAGTAATTTTAATGATTAAATACTGTCACAGTTCTATGTCAGATTACTGCTAAATCTGATTTTGTCACATGACATTCAAATTCACCCTGACGATACTCTTTAGGTCAGCTGTCCTCAACAGCCCCAAAGTATTTACACACACACACATGCACACACACCTGTTGAAGTCTGTAATGTTTGTCACATAGTTGAGAAAATGCATCATGTCATCATTTAATTTCTCTGATATTGGAACGTGCATCGTTGTTTCATGTTGATTTCTAAATTTAAAATGAATGAAGAGGAAATGGTCATTGTAGAAATATTTTCATCAGTATCATTAAAACCCAGTTGATTGCATAGTTTCATCTCCAAGTCACCCATGTATTTGAAAGCGTTATTTCAGCTCTTTTAACCCTTAGCCCCTCCCACCAGATGTGCACAGACTGACGCACCCACTTCACACATGACAGATGACCTGATGCAATCTCTGTAACTGTAAAAAACCACTGCCCAAATCACGCGTGTGTTTTATTCCCTTTATTGGCTGAACTTCTTCTACACTCTGTGAAATATCCATTTTTCATCAAAAGAAATATGTGGATGCAGACTCCTGTTGAAACAACCACTAGGGGTGCTCTTCCTCCTTGTACATTGCCTTTTCCGTAGTTTCCCATTTGGCTGGTCATTTGTCGGATATCTCTACATGTACAAGATGCAGTCGTACTAGCTGTAGTACTTACATTAGTAAGTTGGTATAATAAATATGTACCGTTATACTCAGTCATAAATGCGATAAAAAAAGTCTACGTTAAATTAAATTAAATCTGCAAGTGTGGTGTTGAAAAAAGTTGAATATTCATACCATACAACGTGTGTGTGTGTCTGTGAGTGTGTGCACACGAGTGTGTCTGTCTGCGTGTATGTGTGTGTTGCAGCTATTTTCACCCATTGGTAGCTGTGGTTTGGGGCCTGCTTCTATTTTAAAATTAAAGAGAGGGGAGAAGATGGGTCACGCTTGTGTGCAAATGTATGTGTGTGTGTGTGTGTATACTGTATGTGTGTGTTTAAAATGCAAGTATATGTGTGTTGAGAGCACACACAGTAAAAGGAAAAATGCTTCCGTTCTGTTCAAGTGTGGACTGTCTCCTCTGAGCGTTTGCTACTATTACACAGTGATTAATAATCATTATAATTTTAAAATATAGCACGGTCCTCCACTGATGACTTTTAATCTCCACATGACTGGAGATGGACTGTAGAAAAATGCAAATCATTTAACATGAGGTTTTTTTCCCATTTTTTCCCTAAGTTGGAAGAAACAATAATTACTAAAAATTTGAATTACCTAAAACTAAAAAAAAAAAAAAAAAAATACTTCTTAGTTTTTGACAGGCTCTCAACCACAGTGACATGTTGTTCTATAATGGCAGCATGAACGATATTCACATTTTGACTCCCCTGTACATGGAGAAGTCAAAAGGTTTAAAGACTAAGACAAAAAAAAGTAATTAACAAAACTGTGTCTCCATATGTCCTTCATTTAAGTTCTAAACTTAAACTATAATGTCAGTATTGTTACCATAGAGGAATGTTGTCTTTATTGAGAGCGTTTTTTTCTCCAGGTCCAAACCCAATTGTTTACCTTTTTTAAAGTAATTCTTCAAATCTGAACCAGAACCTGTTGCAAGGATCAAACTATTGCAGCATTCAGGTTTGGTCAAAAACGTAAAGTCAATTTCCAAATGTTCATTTTAAAGGGTGAGAAAATAAAACACTTGAGTCAAATATACCAAAAAAGTCCAAACTAATGGAGACATGATCTGTTTTTAGTTTTTAAAAGGAGACGCTGCGTATAAACATAAACTCTGTCTTACATATTTTTGACTAACCCTCTCACTGTACGTCTTTCTGAGTCTGGACTCTAGTTTTTTTCAGCAGACAAAGTGATTTTCATCATTCATGATTGTCCTACTGTAGCGGACGAAAGCCACCAAAACCTAATTTTACAAAGTTTTATAAACACACAGCACTTTGTAAAACATCAGGTTGCAGGGTCAGACTGAAAAATGTGTACGTGTGTGTGTGAGTACGTGTGTGTGCGTACATTGAGGGGGGATTGAAATAGCAAAAAGCCCACAGCCAAATTGCAAGGAACCACAGAAGCGCAGTGTCACCCCATCCTGAAACCGCGGCCCAGAATAAAGCAGGACTGGTGTCTCCACTCCGCGGACCAACACAGAGCTGACTTTTGGAAGCAGTCTCGCTTCTTGACCAAGTTGTCCAGAGCCGTTCCAAAACTGTCCCAGCCTGGCCTTAGTGCTCCACGCTGTCCTAAAACTGTCACAAAACTGCTCAAAGTTTCTTCACCCTGGCCTCAAAATGACGGTGGAGCGTCCCAGAAGTGTCCCCGTCTCTACACAGACAGACCCACAGTGTCTCCTATTGTTTCCAGCTGTGTCTAAACTACATCAACTCTGCACCAAACCATTAAACAAACATTTATAAACTCTCCACACACTATGTGACAAAACCTGGTCCAAACCACACAGAGGTCCATATTTGACAAACTCAGTGATTTACTAAATGAATATGTTCCGAAGTGGAGTTGATTAATGCCTTGTTTACACACAACATTGGCCAGACGTCTGTTTCACACATGGATCTATCTCCACACTGTTCTCTGGTCTGTGAGGATTGGAATTTAATAGAGATGTAATATCTTCTGTAGGCGTTTAGGACAAGGCTTCACAAACAGCACCCACCTTAGCAAACCCACAGACAACACTACAGAGTATCTAAAGAAACATCCAGTTTTAGAATGGATGTTCTTACTTTTAAATAATTATTACATTTTTAAGCATAAGGAAATGATTAATGAAGATGTTTTCTGTGCTCACTGTATGCTGCCTCATATTTTCAGATTTTGGATTTTTGCCCTTGAGTTCTTAGTCCTCCACGGCAGGGCTGTTGGTCTGCTCCTCCATGCCTATAAATAGCCATCTGTCAAATAAACTGAAGGAGATTCTTGCATCAAAAATGACATCTATTCTGGACGATTTGTGGAATATTTATTTATTTACTCATTTATTTGGCCCATTTTGTCCAATATGCATAAATGAATGCATTACATGCTTGAACTAAATCTGAATGAACTCCTTAAGATATGTGCACTGAGATGTCAACGTTGTCATCAGAGCTTTCTCATGACGAAGCTTGGGATTTTGTTTTTCTGGTTCTTTTTTCTTTATTTGAATTGTAGTCGTTGCAGTTGAAGAAAACACATACAGTGAAAGTGTCATTTGATGTAGTGGTAGATCTCCTTCTCTGTCTCAGGATGGATTTGATTGGTTGTGTATTTTGTCTCTCCATATCCCTGTCTCTGTGTCCTCCTGGTCACTGTTATCTTTTCAACTCCCTGACTTCTTCTGCTTGTCTTCAAGTCGTCTTTTATCTCTTCTTGTGGGAGGAAATGCCAACTGTTAATCATAAAAGCCAAGCTATCCCCTCTCTCTCTCTCTCTCTCTCTCTGAAGACGTTAAAAGAATGTTCCAGCGTGTTTTAAGTCTCTGATGCAGACGGTATTTGCCACAGTCTGTTGGTGAGTTTATAGATTCTCCAGACTGTGGGTTTAAAAAAAAAGATTATTTGTTTGATTTTGAGATGAATTGCCGTTGACATGAGTCAGGGTGAAATTCTTACATCAAATGTTTTGTCACAGCCTGTAGTGGAGCGACCTGTGACTGTTGACCTCTGGTATGTTTGGTCTGTTTGTTTTATTTGACAGATCCAACCTCTCCAGTCATTATAACAACAAAACAGTTCCCATCTCCTCTATATCATAAATTATCAGCCAATCAAATCCCTGCATTTAGACACACAATGAGAGTGGACAGACAGAAAGTGAGACACAGGGTGTGGAGAGGAGAGGAAGACAGGAAGTTGTTCCCTTGCTGTTAGTCAGAGAGAGAAAACAGGGGTTTTTAAACCAGAAGAACTGGAAATTACTGCTTTTTTCTGATGACTCTAGACCTGTGGAAATAGAAAGCACCGCCATCAGAAAAAGAAAAGACGTTTGCTCAAAGGTTTCCACTCAAATCAGCAGTGAGGGCAGAGAGAACAACTATTAACAGACACAAAATGCTCCCATTATCTCTGAATACATTAGACGTAGGATTGAGATAAAGGTTTAAGTTGAAGTTAAAATGTAGAAAATCACTTTTTTATTTTCTAAGAACAAATT